ACCCTTACAACCATTTTAATAACCATCATAACCTAAAATGCCAGTAATAATCCCACGAGGTTCTAATATTACAGTAATCTGTAACTGCATTTACTATAGCGACCATACGGGCCTGTCCCTGGGATAGAAAGGTAAGGGATGGCATACCCAGGGGCGGACTGACAACTCATGGGGCCCCCGGGCAATAGGGGATCATGGGGCCCTTGTGTCCTTGCCCAAACTCAAAAAAGCCTATGAAACAGGTACCAGGGGCATCTCATGGGGCCCCCTACTGACCCCGGGCCCTCGGGCAGTGCCCGAGTTTCCAAATGGTCAGTCCGCCCCTGGGCATACCTTAATACTGATTACGCGTGATAACATTTTCCTGAAAGTGTTTCTAAACCCAGGACCCTGCATTCACTATATCTGGTCTCCCACAGTACACACAACATGGAAATGCTATTATTTTAGTAAATATACACTGCTAAATACCTTTTCTCATCAGCAGTATATAGCAGTCTTGTGACTTCTGTCAGTGTTCAGCAGAGCACTGATTAAAGCTTGTAGGAGGATTTTTCTCCCCCTATGAGGCTGCATAACCCCTGACTCTCTGTCTGGACAGTGCTGATTGGCCCTGTGCTGATTACATGCCCCTCTCCCAAGAAAAAATAAATCTCTCTAGCAATACACACTTAACTGAGCTTGTGCAGCTTGCCCCCTAGGCTCTGTTCTATCATAAGATGGATTGGGGACAGTAGAAGAAGGGGAGGATCAGAGAAGACAGTATCAAACATCCTTTTTACACAATGCAGAGGATTAACCCCCTAGGTTCCAGAGTAAATATAACCAGCATGCTTTACTACATATACAGACTGATTTTACTGTTGTGGGTTTAGTAACACTTTAATGTATTTCTTCCGTCCATGCTTGTGGCTAAATTCAGCAGCAAAACTGTAAAGGTATGGGGTGCAGGGAATGTTGAAATCAGGAGCCTCTTCAAATCTTAGAAAACATGAAGCATCACTCCTTTCCCAGTTATGTTAGTCTGTACAGTTAAAAAATAGGTATACTTATAAAGTAGACCCCACACTGCCTTCAAAACCTCATTTTGGGATTTGTTTTTATGAAAATAATCCAATGACATGCAGTCCTGCAATGCAATCCTGCCTGCATGATCTTGTGTAGCCTTTAGTGATTCTTAACCAGAACTTTGTAGACAGAACAAAACATTGTTTTGCTCAATTTACAATTAAATATACAATATAGTGAACACTTCTACTGATATAAAAATAATTTATAGATTTACTGCAATGAAACGGATTTATAAATGGATGAGTGGAGAAAAATGGTAAAAATGTTGGTGTTTGCCAGCAAAGTGTGGCAGGCAGGGAAGGATGTCACACTGTGATATACATATGGACAAGGTTGGAACTGGCTTTCTTACAAGAAACTGAAAAAATGGAAGTACAGATATGGGTTCTCTATATTATTAAAGTATATGTTTAGGAAAAATATTTAAAAAAGCATATGTAGTACATCTCTGCCATGCATGCACATTTTCTCATGTTTTATCCCTTTAAAGACCTTTCTCAGCTCGATGTATCAGCAATTAGAATCAAGGTTGGTTTGTGGCTGATCAGTGGCTGTGAGAAATTTCTCACAAACAAAATAAACATTGATGCATCAGTTTTTCTGTAAATAAGTGAGAGAAAGGAATCAAAAGTGTTCACACATCAACAGATTGCTAATAAAGGTATTCAGAAAAGCTGGCACACTTCAGATATGCTGGATCAAAAACGGTACTGAATAGATAGACCTTGGGGGAGATTTACTAAAACTGGAGCACTCAGAATCTGGTATAGCTGTGCACATTAGCCAATCAGCTTGTAACTTAATCTTGAAGTTAAGCTAAAGCCTGAATATTTTTGAGTTTCCGCCAATCCCTGGGGATGTAAAGCCCAGAATGTGGGAGAATAGGCCATAAATGTTCAGGAGCCTGGGAGTGAGGGGAGCAGAGTTCAGAGTCCAGTTGCCTGGAGGGGCCCCCTGTGTCGGGGAGGGGGGCTGCCTCTGGTCAAAAAAGGAGGACGAGAGAGAGATTGGGTATAAAAGAGAGAGGGAGCAGCTGGAAGTCTCACCCCTTTGCCAGCCACAGCTAGGTTTAACTGAAGCCATCCTGACAGAAACGGTCCCGCCTGTGTAGCATAAAGCCTGTACAGCAGCCTTGAACTTCATGATTCACCAAAGAAGGGACTGAGTGAGTACCTCCTGTTTTCACCACACCCAAAGCCTGGATAGAGAGGACAGTAGGATGCAATTTATTGTTGGGACATGACCAAGGGACAATTTAGTGCCAATAAAAGCTGCCAAAAGCCATCCCACACCTCTAGCTTGGGTCCCCAAATAGCCAGGTGCATTACTATTTCTCCAAGGAGTCTGCCTTCCTTTCCCTATCCACGTTTATCCCCTAAATAAACAAAAATCCCTTGGACTGTTTATTGAGCCTGTACAAAAGTTGCAAAATGCCTGTTGCTTGGCTGTGTGAAAAGGGAAGGCCAGAAAATCCATTGGCTCCTACGGAAGTAAGAGCTACAGATCTATTGATTATCAGGACAACCAGCCTGTCGGGTTTTTTTCTAATGGTTGAGTGAGTACCTTCTATTTTCACCACACCCAAAGCCTGGATAGAGAGGACAGCAGGATGCAATATTTTTCTGGGCCATGACCAAGGGACAATTTAGTGCCAATACAAAGCTGCCAGAAGCCATCCCACACCTCTAGCTTGGGTCCCCAAATAGCCAGGTGCATTATCATTTCTCCAAGGAGCAGCGCCTGCATTCTTCAGTTGGAACTTTTTGTGTAGTGACTGTTCTTGCTGCTGAACTGTTCAAGTTCTACAGTTCTGGGCATCCCATGCCCTCCCTTTCCCTTATCCACATTTAACCCCCTAAATAAAGAAAAACAAAACAAAAATCCTTTGGACTGATTATTGAGCCTGTACAAAAGTTGCAAAATTCCTGATGCTTGGCTGTGTGAAAAGGGAAGAACAGAAAATCCAGTGGCTCCTATTGGAGTAAGCGCTACAGATCTATTGATCAACTTCAGGACAGCCAGCCTGTCTGTTTTTTTTCTAATGGTTGAAGGAAAGAAAATTGAATAATCTATGCCCAGCCTAAAAGATTAATTTTCTGTTTTACCTGCAATGTACTTTTAAGATAATATAACTAAATGTGCAACGCTAAAGTGTCATTCAAAAAAAAAAATATAATAAACATACACAATATTACATAAAAAAGATTAAAGTGATGGTATATATCATAGAAATAGTCTCATACACAAAAACAATACAAAATATCCAACACCAATGTCTGTGAAATAAAGCCAAAGAAAAAAAATATTTGGTGTGATGAATAGGTCATCTGAAAAGAGAAATAGCCTCCACCACGGTATACGCTGATATACTTTACCAAATAGTGAGACCCGTACATTGATTATCACATACACTTGTTAAGATTTAACACTGAGATGTCGTTGGATCACATACACAATTTCTCCTTCACTTCATTCTGTAATGAACTCCATGAGATTATATATAAAAAGAGGAAACTCTCATAGCGTAGTAAAAGCAGACTTCCAATTTTAATAAAAAGTTGAAAGCTCTCACATTCCATAGGGATATCACAGGCATTGTCTATAACAAAGTGTCAAAGCATCCCATCCTCCTTCCACGGTTGGCGTGATGGCGTTACTTCCTCTGGCTCCACCCTTTTAATTCCTGTAGTTTCCAAGGCCTATGAATAGGTCTGGCCACCTTTTGTAACATTTTTAGTCAGATTGGGCAATGTATATGTGTCTGTTACCCCTCTCAGAATGCAACATCCACTTCCTATGCCTATTTTGGGGAGAAAGTCAATCTAGCTGAATGGATTTTTCTTGGCAGATTGGTGTTGCTGTGCCATGAGAAAAGCCAGAAAAGCTGTCTTTAGAGCACGCTCAACTGACGGCATGGGGCAAAATAATTTGGTGAGCAAATTGTACATGCACAGCTGGTTACCATTAAATGTATCTAGGCACCTTTATGGCTTGTGTCCCTGGGTATTTGCATCAGAACCTCTTTTCTTCTTATACAAGTCATTAGGAATGAAAGAGAAGGTCAGAAGTACCTGGAAAGGATGACAGAAGAATGTCAGAAGTACCTGCAAAGAAATTCACAAGTATATTAGAAGTTTCTCAAATAAATATCAACCTCAAACCTACTGAACTTAAAAGGTGACTGCATATGCCCATCTACATAAGCCCCTAGGGTGGCTATAGACACATATTTCTCTCTAAGAACCATAGATAAGGAGATATCTGTCTAATTGCAGATGCTGTGATCTGCCACAGTTGTCACCCGATAGTAACAGTGGAACTTCCTTACCTCTGTGCACAGAATAGTGAAGAACAGGGCCCATTCGTGGGTGGATTTTCTCAAAGAGTGGAAAATCTTCCTGTGCGATGAGTACTGCTGGCCAATGGAGGTGCTGTTATCTTCCCCTTGTACATCAGAAATGGTTCTATCACTGAGCACAAAGTTCAAAATCAGGAGTCCTGTTTGCTACTATGAGCCCATTTCTAGCAAGCCTTTCTTTAACCACCTCCCGCCCGCCATATAGTCCAATGACGGGCGCAAGGTGGTTGGTTCTCTCGTTCTGGGAGGACGTCATATGATGTCTTCCCATTCTCACCGCGCATGTGCAGCTCCAGGAGCGCGCAGAACGGCGATCGGTGGTGCGTTGTGTCCCTCGGACACAGCGGATCACCGATCCACGGAAAGAGCCGAAGACGTTGGCTCAGTCATGTGATCAGCTGTGTCCAATCACAGCTGATCACATGTAAACAGGGAAATGCCGGTTATCGGCATTTCTCTCCTCTCGAGCTGTCACGCTGACAGATCGAGAGGAGAGCCGGAAACCGGCATTCCGTGGAGGGGACATGCAAACTGATCATCAGGGCACTGATGATCAGTGTGGCCCCAGAAGTGCCACCTGTCGGTGTCCATCAGTACCAGGTGTCAGTGCTGAACAGTGCCACGTGCCAGTGCCCATCAGTGCCACATCAATGCCACATATCAGTGCCTACCAGTGCACATCAATGTCAGTGCCCATTTTAGCTGCCTTTCAGTGTCACCCATCATTGCCAGTCAGTGCCACCTATCAATGCCAATCAGTGCCACCTATCAATGCTGCCAATCAGTGCCACCTATCAGTGCCAGTCAGTGCCACCTAACAGTGCCAGTCAGTGCCACCTAACAGTGCCAGTCAGTGCCACCTAACAGTGCCAGTCAGTGCCACCTAACAGTGCCATATATCAGTGCTGCCTTTCAGTGCCCATCAGTGATGCCTGTCAATGCCCATCAGTGCCACCTACCAGTACCTCCTCATCAGTGCCTTCTATCAGTGTCCATCAGTGCAGCCTATCAGCGCCCATCACTGCAGCCTCATTAAGGCACATCAGTGAAGGAGAAAAATCACTTATTTACAAAATTTTATAACAAAAACTAAGAAAAACATTTTTTTTTTCTAAATTTTTTTCAAAATTTTCAGGTTTTTTTTTCTGTTTAAGAAAAAATAAAAAACCCAGAGGTGATTAAATACCACCAAAATGAAGCGCTGTCTAAAAAAAAATGATAAAAATTTCATATGAGTGTTGCATGACCGCACAATTGTCATTCAAAGTGTGACAGCGCTGAGAGCTAGAAATTGGCCTGGGCAGGAAGGGGGTATAAGTGCCCTGTAGGCTAGTGGTTAATTTAGAGCTGCACATTACAAGCTGTATACCATAGATGTGTTTTCTGTATTCACTGTTGAACTGGATTTACACTTGCTCACCTATTCAGGATAATCCATTTTAATTTGGATTTGGCTAAGTAGATTCAAAAGTGGCAGCACGCCAAGATTTTGTATGGCTGAACTAGAACCCAGACAAGTAAACTGAATAACATTTATGGGACTTTCACCTATGTGGTGTGGGGTTAGCTCAGGTGGGGGATCTCCTTCCCTGGGAAAAAGGTAGACCGCACAGCAGGCTTTCTTTAAAATCTGACTGGTTGTCAGTTTTATTTAAAAAGGTTTGAAAAAAATATCAAAATAAACAAAACATCAAAATAAACCCTTGCCATCCAGGCACTAACTAAACAGGAGACATTTCCTCTCTCAGAGGTGAAGGGCTTCTCCCTGTCACCCAAACAAAATAAACGCAAACCTTTTCTTGTAGGTATAGTACACACACAGCTCTCTCAGAATACCTCTCTGAGTCCCAGGCCACGAGCTACTCCTTGCTCCAGCCCTGCCCTTTTTATATCACCTGTTGGTGGTCATCAGTGGAGCCCAAACTCTGGTCCGGACCCACCTGCTTAACTGTGGCCCCAAAAACCCGGAGTGGACTCCACCTAAACTGTCAGGTATGAGCGTATGCGAGGTGACACATAGCGTCCCTCTATCACCTCGCCGTTCATACTGTCACAGTGGCAATACTTCCAAGGCACAACACTAGGTGTTAATATCTGAAACAAAAACAACTAAAATCATTTTGGTACAGCCTTAAAACCAAAGCCATTTGTATCATAAGACAATGAAAAGCATTTTTAATTTTAAAATAGTAAGAGTTTACTAGCCTCTTCCCATAAGCCGCACACATATATGTGGCCTTTCCGCAGATGGGCTTTAATGCCGACTGGCCGCTTAACTGCATCTACAGTGGGGATCGAAAGTTTGGGCACCCCAGCTAAAAATTTGTATTAATGTGCATAAAGAATCCAAGGAAAGATGGAAAAATCTCCAAAAGGCATCAAATTACAGATTAGACATTCTTATATGTCAACAAAAGTTAGATTTTATTTCCATCATTTACACTTTTAAAATAACAGAAAACAAAAAAATAGTGTCTGCAAGTTTGGGCACCCTGCAGAATTTATAGCATGCACTGCCCCCTTTGCAAAGCTGAGACCTTCCAGTGTCATGGATTGTTCTCAATCATCGTCTGGGAAGACCAGGTGATGTCAATCTCAAAGGTTTTAAATGCCCAGACTCATCTGGCCTTGCCCCAACAATCAGCACCATGGGTTCTTCTAAGCAGTTGTCTAGAAAACTGAAACTGAAAATAGTTGACGCTCACAAAGCTGGAGAAGGCTATAAGAAGATAGCAAAGCTTTTTTAGATGTCAATATCCTCTGTTCGGAATGTAATTAGAAATGGCAGTCATCAGGAACAGTGGAAGTTAAAGCAAGATCTGGAAGACCAAGAAAAATATCAGACAGAACAGCTCGCAGGATTGTGAGAAAAACAATTCAAAACCCACGTTTGACTGCACGATCCCTCCAGAAAGATCTGGCAGACACTGGAGTTGTGGTACACTATTCCACTATAAAGAGATACTTGTACAAATATGGTCTTCATGGAAGAGTCATCAGAAGAAAACCTCTTCTACGTCCTCACCACAAAAATCATCGTTTGAACTTTGCAAATGAACATATAGACAAGCCTGATGCATTTTGGAAACAAGTTCTGTGGACCGATGAAGTTAAAATTGAACTGTTTGGCCGGAATGAGCAAAAGTACGTTTGGAGAAGAAGGGGCACAGAATTTAATGAAAAGAACCTCTGTCCAACTGTTAAGCATGGGGTTGGATCAATCATGCTTTGGGGTTGTGTTGCAGCCAGTGGCACAGGGAACATCTCATGAGTAGAAGGAAAAATGGATTCAATAAAATTTCAGCAAATTTTGGATGGTAACTTAATGCCATCTGTGAAAAAGCTGAAGTTAAAGAGAGGATGGCTTCTACAAATGGATAATGATCCTAAACACACCTCGAAATCCGCAGGGGATTACATCAAGAGGCGTAAACTGAAGGTTTTGCCATGGCCTTCACAATCTCCTGACCTCAACATAATTGAAAATCTATGGAGAGACCTTAAAAGAGTAGTGCGTGACAGACAGCCCAGAAATCTCAAAGAACTGGAAGACTTTTGTAAGGATGAATGGGCAAAGATACCTCAAACAAGAATTGAAAGACTCTTGGCTGGCTACAAAAAGCGTTTACAAGCTGTGATACTTGCCAAAAGGGGGCAGTACAAGATATTAACTCTGCAGGGTGCCCAAACTTTTGCAGACGCCATTTTTTTGTTTTATGTTATTTTGAAAGTGTAAATGATGGAAATAAAATCTAACTTTTGTTGACATATTATAAGAATGTCTAATCTGTAATTTAATGCCTTTTGGAGATTTTTCCATCTTTCCTTGGCTTCTTTATGCACATTAATACAAATTTTTAGCTGGGGTGCCTAAACTTTCGATCCCCACTGTATATGTAAACAAATTACTGTGCCAAGAGCACACTCCCTTCACACTCCAGTAACTAAACTGTCATGGAAAGCTCCTGACATATACTTGAGGTTGGGAGCTTTCAATCATGTGACCACTGTGACTGCCAATTTCAGCGTTCACATGATCAAAATGCCCGCCTCCACCTCCTGGCATTTTGATCCACTTAAAGAACCGGGAAGCAGTGGCGGGAAGGGGTTAAATAATTTCAATACTGTTAAACATTAATTCCAAATTCATAATTCGGCACTTTTAGGAATTATATTATATTTATGGCAAGCTTGCAAAATATTTGTTTTTTATGATTATCCTCCCTAGCGGTCTGATTATGTCAGTATTTCTGTGCTCACAGCGGTACTTTTTTTGCATGGAAATATGTATTTTTTCTATTGTAGGCCTGTAATTTTTAGCAATAACTCACTGAAATCTGTCCGAAAAAAAGTCTAGTAAACATCCCGGGTATGTTAAAATTTGAAACACGAAATCATAAATTATAATTTAATAAATAATCATAAAAAAATAATAATATAATAATAATAATACATTTAATTCAATAATATAATCAAACCAAAAACACTGAAATTTGAAATATAGCGCCAAGTTCGCACATCACTGAGCAAAGTCGCAAAATCGTTTTCAGTGTCTGATGACGAATTTCCCCACGAATCATTATCACTCAATTCTGCAAGTGGTTCTGATTTACTATCGCTGTTCTCTAGCCGGTCTAAAACCGCTTTTGACCTAAAGGAACGCTTTTTTGGACGCCATGGACATTTCTCAGTTTCCAGGCAGAAAGAACAGTAAAAATGCAGGCAGGGCACAGCACAAAGCACTAGGGACAAAATGTATGTGAAATGGTTTGATACAGTAATGTTTACTATGTGATTTTAGTGTATTGAGGGAATGTCACTTTCTCACATTTTTAAATTTCCCACCGTTCCATCCCCGTACGTCCCGACACTCGCAGGGAACGGAACCCGGAAGACGGATGCCGGCATCGGCCGGAAGGCATTGCCGGGGACACTGCAGGGGGGACATCGCGGGAGCGCAGGACAAGGTAAGTGAAGAAGAGATCCCGGAGCAACGCTGCAGGATATTCCCGAGTGTAGCTCGGGGTTACCGCTTGTGGTGCTGAAACTTTACCCCGAGCTACACTCGGGAATACCGCCAGGGAGGTTAATCATAATTAATATTAAAATGTGTGGTTGGCCTTGAACAAGTGATAGTGTTGAATTCTTCAGTTATACCTGAGACAGAAAAATGTCAGAGATTTCAGGAGTTAGGTTAACTAGCTAGAAGCTGAGTATTTAGGACATTTCTATAGATGGTTAAAAGATCTCTGGTATAAGGTGTCATAGGAGGTAGAAGTGCCCCAAAATAGAATTAGTATGAAATAATGTATATATTCTAGTAGTATCTGTGTGTATATAATTTATGTTTTATAGGTTGGTAATATGTGTTACAGAAGTAGATTTTTGGTTATACAAAATTAATGAGAGATTATGTTGTAAAGATAGATTCTTAGTTATAATATCTTTTAAACAGAGAAACTGATCACCAGGGGCGGACTGACAACTCATGGGGCCCCCGGGCAATAGGGGATCATGGGGCCCCTGTGCCCTTGCCCAAACTCAAGCCTATGAAAAAGGTACCAGGGGCATCTCATGGGGCCCCCTACTGACCCCGGGCCCTCGGGCAGTGCCGAGTTTCCAAATGGTCAGTCCGCCCCTGCTGATCACATAGGTAGGCTGATGCAACATTGTCAACTTATGAAGCCACTACATATGAGCTTGTCAATCAAAAGACCATATATGTAGTATCCAGGGGCGGACTGACCATTTGGAAACTCAGGCACTGCCTGAGGGCCTGGGGTCAGTAGGGGGCCCCATGAGATGCCCCTGGTACCTTTTCCATAGGCTTTTTTGAGTTTGGGCAAGGACACAGGGGCCCCATGATCCCCTATTGCCCGGGGGCCCCATGAGCTGTCAGTCTGCCCCTGATAGTATCCCCTCCCTTAAATGAAATTGCTCTACTAAGCAGAATTGTTTGCCATACAAGGTTCTGAGTTATGAGAATTATGACGTCTACATGTAGCATAAAAAGATATCCTAAGAGATGCGAAGGGCGCAATACACAACACTCGCAACACATACATAGACATGTCCGTCCATTCACACACAGACACAAGCAAAGCATGAAGACGCTGTCATTATTCACATACTGAGAAGCTGAAACAGGTGCATTCTCTTAGAGACCTAAGATCACGTCACTTCCTTCTTCTTGCTCGGACTCAGCTGCATTGAACAAGACAAGAACCACATGGCCGGACAGCCATGACAATAAGGTTGACACATATTTATAACTTCTGTTTTTATATTTTTGTTTTACCTACACTGAACTGTTATTCATGATACATTTTGCATTGTTATTTTAAGCCATTGTGTGATAAAATAAAATCATACTTTATTTTTATTTCGCTGGCTGTTTATTATCCGAAATCGCATTAAGACACTAAAGAATTATTATATTTTTCTCAGAAAATTCTACAAATACAAAACAAGGTACAGAGAAAATACAGAACACTGGAAGTTATCACAGAAATTGAGCAGTCAGTTGTGCACAAATCATTGAAAAAGGATTTCAACAACCTTGAAAATTTTATAAATGTGGTCCCATGTTGTGTATGTGGTTGATCTGGATGTGAGTCAGTAAAGGTATATATTCAGACATCTTGTGACCTAGGAGAATGGACCCAGTAACAATCCGGTTAGAAAGGGAGTACAGAGTAATAGATGGTAATGTAATCAAGTGGGACGAGAGAAGAAAGGAGAAGATAGTGGAGATTGTTGGGTAGCCACTGATGATACATGGTGTCTCAATTGGCTTCTGAAACAGAGCTTATGTAATGAATACAAATGCTCCAGGCAGATGCATATTGGTCAAATGTTTCTTGAAGTCAGGCTCTCAGCTCCTCCATGTGTTGCAAGTGGGTAAGTTTTATAATCCATCACAGGAGGGTTGTTAGTTCTCCAGCTTCTGGCTATTACCATTTTATCTGCTAAATGAAAAAAGTGAAGGTAACCTTTCTTGGCGTTTGATACTCATCCCAGGAGCATAGAGAGGAGGGAACTCTCTGGTGTTTCAGGGATGGAAAGACTTGTCACTCGTTCATATTTTGTGAAGATCTGCTTGAAGAAAGGCCCAATCAAGGGGGAGAACCAGCAGATATGAGAAGCATATTTTATATGATTAGATACTCTTCTCTTCAACAAAAACAGCAACAATATCCTTCACTAATCTTTCCTGCCCTCTACACACAGGTATTGCTACTCAACTGTGTTGTGATTTTCCGTGTCATGGTACAGTGTCCTGACATGTATGACCAGCCTTGGACCATACATATACAATGCATTTCAATATTTAAAGTGTAAAACAAACAACTGAAAGTAGATATGTTTCAAACTAGCAGCATTTCCTGTACATGTTAAGTGCACAATTGAACTGATGTTTTAACCACATTATTTGTGTTTGTTGAGCCCACATCACTTCAAGGTTTTACTAATCAGCTGTTTGAATGTCATATCCTGTACCAAATACAAGTTTATCTTGCACATCTGACAGCAGTCTTAGTGCTAGCATAACCAGAAAAGGTCTACATGTAATTTTCCATTTCTTATCACAATGTCACAACGCAGAGGAAACAGTGGGAACGTATCATTTAGCAGCGGGGGATTCTGCTTGTTATCACGAAACTGGTTTGGATGACTTACTTTTTTTAGGACAAAGTATTCGTTGTATTATGTTCTGTCAAATAACAGGAAAAATAATAAGTCATTCAAAACACAGTCTCAGATATTGGGTGAACAATGCTTAACTGTAGCTCACATAATATCTTGGATTTATTACAGGCCTGCATTTATTATCATCTGCATATGGATTTTTTGTTGTTTTAAAAAACACTCATGGGTTCAGTACCATATAACAGAAATCAAATGGCGCAGGCCATGTATAATGTGTTCCTGCCCAGCCATTGTGATATATCATCATTGAATGCAGCCTTCCTCAACCAGGGTGCCTTTAGGTTTTTTAAGGGGTGCCTTGACACATTAGCTGAGTGATGGAGAAAAACTGAGGGAGAAGAGAAACGCTGGAATACGGTACTACTCAGTACTAGTGTGCAAAAGTGTATTTGCTTTGGAAGAATAAATCCCCTCTAATGTTGGGTGTCCTACATGTGTGGATGTTGCTGCGTTATATAAAACTATTAGAATAGTTTTTCACATTTTAGAATGGGGTGCCTCAAGACTGTCCATAATTTTAAAGGGTTCCTCAGGACTGTTCATAATTTTAAAGGGTTCCTTGACCAAAAAAAGGTTGAGAAACACTGCTTTAACCTCCCTGGCGGTATTCCAGAGTGTAGCTCGGGGTAAAGTTTCAGTACCACAAGCGGTAACCCCGAGCTACACTCGGGCTTACCATGCGGCGCTGCTCCAGGATCCCTTGATCACTTACCTTGTCCTGTGCTCCCGCGATGTCCCTCCTGCAGTGTCCCCGGCAATGTAATCCGTCGGATGCCGGCATCTGTCATCTGGTTTCCATCCCCTGCGAGCGTCGGGACGTACGGGGAACGGTGGGAAATTTGAAAATGACAAAAAGTGACATTCACTAAAATCACATAGTAAAACATTACTGTATCAAACCATTTCACATACATTTTGTCCCTAGTGCCCTGCCTGCTTTTTTACAGTTCTTTCTGCTTGGAAACTGAGAAACATCCATGGCATCCAAAAAGCGTCCCTTTAGGTCAAAAGCGGTTTTAGACCAGCTAGAGAATAGCGATAGTAAATTAGAACCACTTGCAGAATTGAGTGATAATGATTCGTGGGGAAATTCGTCATCAGACACTGAAAACGATTTTGCGACTTTGCTCAGCGATGTGCGAACTTGGCGCTATATTTCAAATTTCAGTGTTTTTGGTTTGATTATATTATTGAATTAAATGTATTTATTATAATATTATTATTTTTTATGATTATTTATATAATTATAATTTATGATTTCGTGTTTCAAGTTTTATCCTACCCGGGATGTTTACTAGACACTTGTTCGGACAGATTTCAGTGAGTTATTCCTAAAAATTACAGGTCTACAATAAAAAAAATGCAGACCGCTAGGGAGGTTAATGTAATGTTTTCTAGAGGCTTACATACTGTGTTCCAGTGATCCCAAATGGGGGTTAAAGATTTTTTTCAAAATGTGTCCCTTATTTCAGAAAGGACTGTAAAAAGTTCCCTATTGTTGCCTGCTACAAACATTTGCTAAAGGAACATTATAATCTATTTTATGACATGCATATTTTGAGTAATAAGTGAAATGTTTACATTTTGGCCCCATTCAAATCTCGTGTAGCGAGAATGAGCGTTCCTGTTCACAATTTTTTTAAGCCCAATTTACCCGCGTCTCTGCATGTCGTGCATAGGGCAGCCCATTCACTTCAATGGGCTGCCCTATGTGTGTTTGTTGTCTCCTAGATTGTAAGCTCGAAAGAGCAGGGCCCTCGAACCCCTCCTGTATTGTTTTGTTACTGTATTGTTTCATGTACTGTCCCCCCCACTATAATGTACAGCGCTGAGCAAACCTTTTGGCGCTATATAAATACTTTATAATATAATAATAATAATAATAATAAAAGAAGCTCTTCTTCCTTTTGGCGCAACAAGCTTGGCAGAATCACTGTGATTCTGCCAGCAATTCCAAATCAGCAAGTGTGGCTGGGGCTAAATGAAAATTATACAGTATATAACTTTCAAATTTATAAGTTAGCTCTTCATGTTTTTGTTATTGTATTTGCTAGCCAGTAGAAGGGGCAGTCAATCAATTTACAGTACTCGACATTCCTTCTTCACAACTGTTGAGATGAGATATCAACCACACATTGTTTTCAGTACGACAGCTAGTTCATAGATATGTGTAGCACTTCCTCCCCAGGCAGCTGCTCAGAGGTTGGGTCAGGGCCACTTCCAATGGCGACCCACCCTGAATTGAACCCAACACTCACTGAAAAACCAGTAACAATGCAAAAGGTTTTAATTAGGGCCAGGAACAGGCCTACAATGGAAGTTTAGTTTAATCAAATGCAATGATAACAGCATTAATACATTACTAAACACTGGCACAAGCAATGTCAATACAAAATAGGCAACTACACAGTAAAACAAGTAGCCCTTGATAGAAATCAGGGGGAGATACTGTATTCAACAGTATAGACTATCCACTACTTAAAGCCGCTAATTAGACTACTAGCCAGTTGCAAACAGTTGTAACGTCCTCATAGGGTTGGGCCCTCTAAACTCAGGATTCTCTCCATATGGCAGCACTGAGCAAATCACAGCACCAGCACTGAAAATATGAGAAGAAGGGAAGTGAGCCACATGCTCCTATCTGTATACGTATGAAAGTACAAGACATTTTCTTTATACCTGGCAGTGGAATGGAGCTGCTAAGGAGAAAGGGAAGGTATTTTCACTGCTGAGGACCAAGAATTGAATCAAAGCTGTTGCTTGCCCTGTGCTTTTCAGACAAGTTCTCTATGAGTGATGAGCTGCTTTTGGTAAATAACATATAATATCATCTGTGGTTCCAAGGTTGCAATAATCATAGGCAGAACATGCATACAACAAACTCAATGATACCTTAAACTCCATATTTGACCAATGTAATACTTTTTTAAATGCCTGAAAGAGAGAACTTCTCCTTTGCAAATGTGGGGAGGGCAAAAACAGAGTACAAGGACTATCTCTGTTTACAAGAAAGTACTTTATTTATCTATGTTTACACACTATCACCTTCAAAATAGTCCCCCTTGCACAGCAATACAGCGCTATCAGTGTCCTTTCACTTCTGGAATGTGTCCTGAAAGTCTTCTTTTTGCAGCGTGTCAAGCACCTTCTGCTATTTGCTCTGGATCACTGCAATGTTGTCAAAATGGCAACCTTTGAGCTGGATCTTCATCTTAATCAAGATGTAGGATCAAATCCGTAGGAGTCAAGTCTGGCGAGTAGGGTGGGTGCGGAAGTGAGATCATTGTAACCTGGGGACAAGCTTGGCAGCAACATGGTGCATGTTCAACTCACACATGAGGAATGCCTGTACTATTCCATATGCTTTCCAACAATCATTATGCACAAGTTGCCGAACGGTTTCGACATTTCAACATTTTTTGGGAGTTGAGCTCGTTGAAGGTCTTCCTGATCTCTCGCCGTCTTCTAGTGATGTTCTCCCACTCTTGATGCATGCATGCCACTCATAAGCCCTTGAACGACTCATTGCAGTATCGCTGTAAACTTGCTGAATCACGTCAAACTTCTCTGTGGAAGATTTGCCCAGTTACATGCAGAATTTCATGTTTGTTCTTTGTCCTAACTTGCTGTCCATAATGAAATAGGAGACGTGGTAACGCACATGGCCAGAATAGCACCATTTGCACAGCTCCTGATGTACACAGGATGATGTCTGTGCATGCAGCCTTGTTCTTCCATTTATTGGCATGTTACAAAACTGGTCTTAAAGCTTTTTGATATCACCTCCTACAGATGTGGCTCCATCCTGCAGCTACCTTAGTCTTCATAACAGGGTAAGTTGAGAGACCAGGGTGTCTTGGTTTTTAACATTGTCATCTTTGAACTCTGTTTTTTGGGTCAGCTTCATCAAGGGCACAGCATAGAAATTGTGCTTCTTTATCTTCTAATACAATAGTCCCCAAACTGTGGTCCTTTACTTGCCTTTATCTAGCCCTTGAGGTATTATTCCTGCCACTGACACCAACAATGGGGCATAATTCTTGTCACTGACACCAATAAAGGGGAGCTATTACTTACACTGACACCGACGATGGGGCCCAATTCCTTCCACTGATAACAACATTCAAAATTGGGGCACTATTCTCCCACTTGCACAAACAACAATTTATGTCCCTAATATCAAAGATCAGGCTTTTTGTACTCCCACTAGGCACAGTGTGGCCCCCCTAAAGTCTGAAGGACAGTAAACTGGCCCTTTCTTTAAAAAAGTTTGGAGACCCCTGTTCTAATACATCAAAGAAAACACACACAAATATTGCAGTAGGACCTTATATAACAGCTACTACTCTGTGTTGCTTTTAATCACTCACAAGAAAAAAGCTAAAATCGAATGTACCAACCTCATCAACAAAAAAAATATTTTAAAAGTTAAGCATGCTTCTCACCTCTTAAGATAGTTTGCAACATGTGCAGAGAGAATTAAAAGCAGCTGTTGTAGCTCCATTCAGTACCATATGTTCAGTCATGCATACAAAACAGGCTGACAGATATAGAGCAGAACATTAAAATAGGTCACATCTTATATACTATTATTTCACAGACGTGCTGAATGGAGCTTAAGAAAAGAGACTGAAAAAATAAAGCTTGAAATGTGTCAGCCAAAACATTTCAATCAAAATAAAAGGCAGCAGGCTTGCATGTTCCACAGAACTACATAGCAATGCTAATATACTATGAAAACAACCTGTTTCTAATCAGTGTACTCTTACTGGGGAAACAATATCCTGTTCATGCCAGAAATGTGGTGAAAAATATATGCCACAACTATTTCTGAAATGCCAGTCAATTTGCATTGTTTATGTACAAAGGTGCCACTGTGGAGCCCACTATGTAGGGAAATCAAAACAAAAGTTTTGGAAGGACCTAGGGTATAGGCCTAAAGGTATAATGTTTATAGCCTTTAATAGAATTCACCCTGACTCAAGAGGGGAAGACTTTATTTTTAAAAAAGAGACCCAATAAATTTTTGACCATAATTGTAATTTAACTCCAGGTTTGAGTAAGCAAATTAGCTTTAAACTGTTTGTTTAAAGGTTACTATATATATAATTTCCCCAAACTGACCAAAAAAGTTGTATATAGGTAAAAATATACGTTATTTGATGTAAAAGATAAATGTAAAATGTATGCATTGTTTCAAAATGTTATTCTCAAAAGTATACCTTTTGTCCCCTTTAGAGTGTTTTTTGCATCTTCCCCGGATTTTTGTGGTGGACTTTCTGCCATGTGGCCACCAGAGTCACCAGAGGCATTTCAATTGTGGATATCTAATAACTTTACATTTGTTTACTGATCCTTGGACAGAGGATCTGTTCGCTGCTAGCCATTATAGATAAACTCAAAGGGCATAATGTAGAGTTCTTTGGATATGTGCAAATCAGGCATTGAATATCATCACTCCTGCGTTACAAAAAACCTTGCTGTCCAACTAACCAACTTTGAACACATTCGCTACCACACCCTCTAATGCCCAAACTTATGTCTACCATTTATTCACACCTTAACTTATTACCATATTATACTACGCACACAAATAATTACAAATGAAAGAAAGACATGAATGCATCAAAATCTGAGAATTACTAGCAAAAGATTTAGTCCACAGTCACCACTAGCACTATTAAATTTTGTTTTCCTAGAATCACCTTCTGAGTCCTAACTCTCTGGTACATGGTACCCTCTAGACCAGTGTTTTTCGAACTTTTTTCAGTCAAGGTACCCATTAAAATTATGCACAATCTTGAGGCACCACATTTTAAAATGTAAAAAACTAAACTAATAGTTTTACATAGTATAGGAGCATCCAAACATGTAGGACACCCAACATTAGAGTTAATTTATTCTTCCAAAGCAA